AAAAAAAAAAAAAAAAAAAATACTAAGGACATTTTCAAACATATCCTAAAGAAAATAGTATAATGAACATCTCATCTGTTCCCAACTTCAGCAGTTAAACGATCATACTTAATGCCCCCACTGGGTTTATCCCTGCCCCCCTTTTTTAAAGTATAAACTTTGTGGATTTTTATAGCAAAGTCTCTTTGGGAACTTAAAGGATTGTTTCCTACATGTAAAGCAAGTAACCATACATCCCCCTATGACAGATTTGGCACTATTGTGTGGTTAAATAATGGATTTCATTGGGTAGTAAATTTATTCCTGCTTTACTTTATTTTATAATGAAAATTCTTATAGAAAGTAAGATAGAAATATTTTTTAGTTTAAAATGAGAGTCACTGCAATTTCTTTGCAAAATACGCCTTAGCCCCAGGTGGTACACTGGCAGATGACATGATGCGTACAGATGTCTGCGTGTTTGCAGCACAAGAAGACCTAGAGACCATGCAAGCATTTGCTCAGGTAAGTGAAATTTTACCTAGTTACTTTCAGTATCCATCTGACTAATATCTAAGGAATATTTTGCTTTTGAAAAGTTGAAGGTAGAAAGTTGAAAGAATTTGATTTTCAGGTTTTAGAATGCTGTTCCTGGTGCAGTGAGATGAATTTAAAACTGCACATGTGTTACAGCGAACAATATAGAAAAGATTAAATTAGCTCTCCCTTTCCTATCTGTCCTTCTGGAATAATTCCATTTTTAAGGATAAAGTCAAGCTGAAAAAGAAAATCCGTTCCCTATTATTTTCCATAGGTGAATTATTCTTCATATTATTTTATTTTATTTTATTTTTCTGAGACACTCTCAAACTGTCGCCCTGGGTAGAGTGCTTTGGCATTCATAGCTCACAGCACCCTCTAGCTCAGGCTCAAGCAATCCTCTTGCCCCGGCCTCCCAGAGTGCTAGGATTATAGGCATGAGCCACTGTGCCTGGCCTTTGTATGATTAATTTTAAAGATAAATGAGTTATAAATAGATTACCTTATTAATGAAGATCTCATTTGAAAGTTTCATGCATAATTGTATTTGTGTTTCTTTAAGCAAAGAATTCAAATACATCTAACCTGTACATTGTTATCAGGAAACATAGAGCTATATTTATGATTTTACTCTGTTCACGTCCTACAAATGGGTAAATGAGTTGTGTTTGAGCGATGATTAGTCCTTTTTTTAGCATACAGCAGTAAAAATCTGCTGAGAGCTAGCTATTAAAGTGTTAATAGCATTGGTATATGTAGGATTTGGGAGCTGACAAACTCTTCTCACTGGTGTAAACATTTTATAACCTGTTACATTCAGTGGAAGATTGACTTCTTGCTTTCCTAGAAATACTGTAGCAAAGGTCGCAGAAGTACTGACCTAGATCTTTTAGGGACCTGGCATCTGCGCACATACGAAGTTACTGAATTTATTTAATGTTCTTCATAGGTTTTTAACAAGTTAATCAGGCGCTACAAATACCTGGAGAAAGGTTTTGAAGATGAAGTGAAAAAGGTAGGAGGAGTAATATGCATTGTGGAAAAGAAAAAGTTGGGGTCAGAAAGGGGAATGTTAGGTCCTCATTGTGCCACAGATTGAGGTAATTTTGGATATTTAGGTAAGGTGTCATTGAAATGTTTGAGGGTATATCATTTAGTTTACAGTATGTCTAACTTGCTGTGCACTGTTTCTCAGCTTGGCAAATGCCAAAGGACTAAAAATCAAAGTGAGATTTGCTCAATAAATTCAGCCTATTTGGTATTTGAGTCTCAGCTTTTGGTATTTCAAATACAGGTACACAAAAAATCTGGTACTGTTGGCAATAGCATTTATCTATCAACTACCAGGCACTGTTCTGATTATATTAATTCACTTAATATTCATAAAGACCCTGTGAGGCAGGTTTTATTATCCACATTTTACATGTGAAGAAACTGAGGCACAGGGATTAAGTGACTTGCCCAGGATCATTCAGCTGATGTGTATTATAATAAAAACACGAATTTGGTGGCCGGACCCTAGAGCATACACGTACAACCAATAGACTGCGCTGTACTTCCTCTCTTAATGCAGTTGCTCCTTTAATCCTTAACTCTTTACTTTTACAGCTGCTGCTGTTCTTAAAGGGTTTTTCAGAGTCGGAGAGGAACAAGCTGGCTATGTTGACTGGTGTTCTTCTGGCGAATGGAACACTTAACGCATCCATTCTTAATAGCCTTTATAATGAGAATTTGGTTAAAGAAGGTAATCAACCTTTAGTAAAGAATGGTATTTAATTGACTTGAAAGCGAGGCGAGTAAGAGCTTGAAAGATGAACTGATAATGAAAAAGGTGGGGCATGGTTTGCCATTCATAGATGTGACTTGTGTGATGGTCTTTGTTTATTAGCCATCCTTAAATTTAATAAGCTAATTTCAATTGAGCATACCTAACATATATCTTTGGCATCCCAGTTTAATGGCTTGCTTTACACATGCAACAGATATCTAGGTTTTAGACAAAAGGTGATTAGGTGATGAAAGTTAATTTTTATTTTTTAAACTATTTGGAGTACTATTTTAAGGTGCCTTTAGTTCTTGGAACTATTACCCTCAATTAACCTGTTAGAAAATACTTAGTAACTTGGCCAAGAATACACAACTAGCAAATGGTAGAATAGAGAAATTGGAGAAATGATAAATAGGGGCAGAGTAAAGTTCACTAGTAAGTTGGCGGGGGAAAGTGGTATCATGTGGTTAAACTGTCAAGATGAGGCTTTCAGGGGATACAGGAATTGAAACCAGGAATTTTTTTCTTTCCTAGGGGTTTCAGCAGCTTTTGCTGTAAAGCTCTTCAAATCGTGGATAAATGAAAAAGATATCAATGCAGTAGCTGCAAGTCTTCGGAAAGTCAGCATGGATAATAGGCTGATGGTACGTAACTTTTTCCTTCCCAGTCTTGCCAGTAGATGTATTTTTAAATCTGTGAAAAGAAAAGGTATTTTTCTTCTGATTTGAAGACATTTAACCAGATTAATTCATCTTTCAGGAACTCTTCCCTGCCAATAAGCAAAGCGTTGAACACTTCACAAAGTATTTCACAGAGGCAGGCTTAAAAGAGCTGTCAGAGTATGTTCGGAATCAGCAAACCATAGGAGCTCGGAAGGAGCTCCAGAAGGAACTTCAAGAACAGATGTCCCGTGGTGATCCATTTAAGGATGTAAGCTGCTTTTGTTTAAACCATCTTTTTATGGCTAAGCTTCTGGCATAGAAATTTTCACTCATTTGAGAAACTTTAGTTTCTGAGATAAAACTGGGATGAGTTTGAGTTGATAGTTATAAATGTTATACTGGAACTTTCTTTGAGACAAGGTCTTACTCCGTTGCTGAAGCTAGAGTGCCTAACTCACAACAACCTCAAACTCCTGGGTTCAAGCAATCCTCCTGCCTTAGCCTCCCTCGTAAGACAGTGGGGCTATAGACAGCTGCCACAATGCCTAGCTAGTTTTTTTGTTTTTGTTTTTTTGCTGCCCCTGTCAACTAAAGGGTAACTTTATTGACGCCCCAGGGCCATTTTTTTATTTTTAGTAAAGATGGGGTCTCGCTGTTGCTCTGGCTGGTCTTGAACTCCTGAGCTCAAGTTATCCTCTTGCCTTGACCTCCCAAAGTACTAGGATTACAGATGTGTGCCGCCACACCTGGCCAGTTATACTTTTGACTTTGCCCCTGTCTTTTTCATTTGTTTATTCAGGACCTTACTAATGCCCAGAGATGTAAGGTTGGGGCTCAACACCCCTTTCAGTTTCAAAGAGTCTCTGTTAATGTGTAGTTGTTTCTAGTTGCTTGGGAATTTTTTTTTAACTCTTTTATAAAAGGTCTAGATTTGACATGTGAAGTATGTATGTATCAAAAATGACTTCTCTTACTAAACTTGGATTATCTTACAGATAATTTTATATGTCAAGGAGGAGATGAAAAAAAACAACATCCCAGAACCAGTTGTCATCGGAATAGTCTGGTCCAGTGTAATGAGCACTGTGGAATGGAACAAAAAAGAGGAGCTTGTAGCAGAGCAAGCCATCAAGCACTTGAAGGTATTGTTAGAGCTGTGCCTTGACGAGAGCAAACTGTTCTGCTTTCAGGTGGGGATAAGTGAGGGATGACCAGACTTTTCTAAGAGAATTTATCACAGTTCCTGGGGATAACCCACCAGCAAGTAGACAAATAACATACAACAGCTCTTGATAACACTTTGGGGTCTGAGTTGGGTTTTATTTGGTTCACAAGTTAAAAACAAGAATGGGTTTTAAAGGAGTTTAAGCCTGCAGGACTATAGGGAAATAGGAATGTTCCCTTTTTCACTCCATCTTAATATTGTTTGTTATTTGGAGTACTTGCTGCAGTATTGCTTATTTGATGTAGGTGCTTAGTAGATTTTTCTGCCTTACTCTATTTTTTTTAATTTGCAGTACTCAGATTGTAGTTCTTAGTGTGCTACAGGAATTTTGTAATGGATGGTCATAATAACTAAATCTTTTTTCCCCTTTACTTTAAAAGCAATACAGCCCTCTACTTGCTGCCTTTACTACTCAAGGTCAGTCTGAGCTGACTCTGTTACTGAAGATTCAGGAGTATTGCTATGACAACATTCATTTCATGAAAGCCTTCCAGAAAATAGTGGTGCTTTTTTATAAAGGTAATCTAAATTTTAAATTTAATAAAAGTCCTTGAAAACTCATTATAAAAGTAATTATCGGGGGAGGTGCCTGTGGCTCAGAGGAATAGGGCACCGGCCCCATATGCTGGAGATGGCGAGTTCAAATCCAGCCCTGGCCAAAAACTACACAAAAAAAGTAATTATCTGAACATCAGTTCCCTGTACTATTTTATATCTAGTCACCAATAAAGTCACCTCTGATTATATTAGCTGCCTTTTTTAGATTGGTGTCAAAACATCTCTAACTTCCAATCACAAGTTAAAATCTTAAAGCTTTCATTATTCAGGGCAGCACCTGTGCTCAGTGAGTATATACCAAGGCCCTATATACCAAGGGTGGTGGGTTCAAACCCGGACCCGACCAAGCTGCAACAAAAAAATAGGCATTGTGGCACGCACCTGTAGTCCCAGCTACTCGGGAAGCTGAAGCAAGAGAATCACTTAAGCCCAAGAGATGGAGGTTGCTGTAAGCTGTGATGCCACGGCACTGTACCAAGGGTGACAGTATATAAATATAATACCACAGCACTCTACCCCAGGGTGACAGTGAGACTCTGTCTCTTGAATAAATAAATAAAGCTTTCATTACTCAGCCTAAAGCTTTGATTTCTATACTCAAGCCATTATCCCTGATAGACATATGTCAGGTCCCTTCCCTGACATACTTTTGTATTTCTGTAGACTTTGGACTACCCTACCACCCAGTGTCTACCTTCCTTCAAGACCAGTTTAAAACACTTAGGGTTAAAATGCCTTATCTCAGTTATCATTCCTGTTTCTGTGATCCCAATTTCAAAACCTTGGTCTAAAGTGGTTTGGGTTTTTTGAGACAGAATCTCACTGTCACCCTGGGTAGTGTGCTGTGGTATTATATTTCACAGCAACCTTGAACTCTCTGGCTTAAATGATACTCTTGCCTCAGCCTCCTGAGTAGCTGGAACTACAGGCACCTGCCATAATGCCCAGCTAGTTTTTCTGTTTTTAGTAGAGACAGGGTCTCACTCAGGCTGATTTCAAACTCCAGAGCTCAAGTAATCCACCCACCCCAACCTCCCATAGTGCTGGGATTACATGTGTGAGCCACTGCACCCAGCTTGGTCTAAAGTGGTTATGAAGGACAAGATCTGTGTTGGAAGAGAACCTATTACAATTGCTTCATTTGCTGTGGTTGGTGTTAACACTTTGAAATTGTGCATTAGTGGGGCCTGTGGCTCAATGGATAAGACGCAGGCCCCATATACTGAGGGTGGCAGGTTCAAACCTGGCCCCCACCAAACTGCAACAAAAAAATAGCTAGACGCTGTGGTAGGCACCTGTAGTCCCAGCTACTTGGGAAGTTGAGGCAAGAGAATCGCCTAAGCCCAGGAGTTGGAAGTTGCTGTGAGCAAAGTGAGACTCTGTCTCTCCAAAAAAAAGAAATTGTGCATTAATCAGACCAGCCTTGATCCCAGTGGTGTGCACATGTATTCTGTTCCCTCATTTTCATAGATCATTTTGTTGATAGATATATTCTAAACTTAGACTAAGAATCTACCCTGATTCCCGAGATTTTTTTTATTTTTTTAAGAAGGTATGGGATAGTGAACTCCTGAGTACCCATGCTGCAGTGATTATCAGTTTGTGATTAGGTTCTTTGGGAACATTTCTACCCCCGTTTCTCCCATCCAGATTATAAAGGAGTCCTAGAAATTGTTGTTGAATTCTTAAATATGAAGTATAATGACTTAAATTTTTTTCTTTTTAATAAAATCACCATTTTAATGCTTTAAAAAATTAGTAAATTTTCTACCAGATATTTTTGATCATTTATACAGGTCTCTCAACTTCAGTATTACTAGCATTTGGGGCCAGTTTACTCTGTTAACTCTTTGTGACTATCTTGTGCATTATAGTGTTGAGCTACATCTCTCACCTCTGTTCAGTAGATGCCAGTAGCACGTCTCCCCACTGTGACAAGAATGTCTCCTAAGAGGCAAAGTTGCTGGTTTAATAAATTTTTTTCCCTAGTTTGTTGTAGTTTGGTACATTGACAAGTTGATAAAAGTCTCTTCTTAATATATGGTTCCCATTTCATCTTTTTTATATTTCTTGAAATTGATTGTTGAAGAAACCAGTGTTTAAATATAGATTTAACTTAGAAACATGCATATAGTTGTTTTTATTTTCAGAGGAGTCTTGTTTCACAAGCAAGCATTTGCTCCTTAGATGACTATAATTCTTCCTGAAGTAGAAAACATGTTTAAAAACTCCCCTAATGATGGCCCGGCACGGCGGCTCACACATGTAATCCTGGCACTTTGAGAGGCTGAGGCAGGTGGATTGCCTGAGCTCACAGGTTTGAGACCAGCCTAAGCAAGAAATGAGACCCTGTCTCTAAAAACAGCTAGGCATTGTGGTGGGTGCCTGTAGACCCATCTACTTGGGAGACTGAGGCAAGAGGATTGTTTGAGCCCAAGAGTTTGAGATTGCTATGAGCTGTGATGCCAGGGTACTCCACCAGCGACAACAAAGTAAGACCGTCTCAAAAGAAATAAAACTCCCCTGGCTTGGCACCTATAGCTCAACCGGCTAAGGCGCCAGCCACGTACACCTAAGGTGGCGGGTTCGAATCCTCAGCCCGGACCCGCCAAACAACAATGACGGCTGCAACCAAAAAATAGCCAGGCGTTGTGGCGGGCGCCTGTGGTCCCAGCTACTTGGGAGGCGGAGGCAGGAGACTCACTTGAGCCCAGGAGTTGGAGGTTGCTGTGAGCTGTAATGCCATGGCACTCTACCCAGGGGGACAGCTTGAGGCTCTGTCTCAAAAAAAAAAAAAAAAAGAAATAAAACTCCCCTAATGTAATGATTATTCTTTACAGCTGAAGTCCTGAGTGAAGAGCCCATTCTGAAGTGGTATAAAGATGCACATGTTGCAAAAGGGAAAAGTGTCTTCCTTGAGCAAATGAAGAAATTTGTAGAGTGGCTCAAAAATGCTGAAGAAGGTAAGTCTTTTCCTTTATGCAGATTGGTGTAGTAAAGCTTAGAAACTAATTTTCACGTGGCCACAGTATATGTCCACACGGGCTTCCGTCTTTCATTCTGATGCCACTTTGTGCCTAGAATATAGTATCTTCATTTACTACAGCAAATGGTTACTTGAGTTAAGGCAGGTGGGAGAAACTAATTATTACAATATATTTATGTCTGCTATAATACTGAGCATCCTTAGAGAAATTGAAGATTTTGAAAACATTTATGAACTTGAAGATTTTCATAAATGGGAATGCTTTTGAATTATCCCTCTCATACAAGTAGGGTATTATTAAGATTTCTTACAATAAGTAGCTTGAAAGTTACAAATAAGAACTTTGCCTTCTGGTATATAACGCTTGACTGCATTTTTCCCCTTTTCTAGAATCTGAGTCTGAAGCTGAAGAAGGTGACTGAATTTTGAAACTACACCCTCAGTAAAGCAAACAGGAGTTGTAGATAAAATGTCATGTCTCATGTGTCCTGGTTCTTACATCTTCCTACCTCCCTATATCAAGCATGATATAAGGGCTTTCATGGCAAATTTTATTTTAACTGTTTCTATGGTTACTGGAAATGTTGGGTTTAGTTTCTAAAACCATGTTTTAAGTAGCTACAGGAGCTATAGATTTGAATCTAATGTTGCATTAGTCTTTTCAGTTATCTTCTACCTCCTGTATTTTCTACTGTAATAATGTAATTTAAGGCCTTCCACAATGAACAGTTCACTTTATTCCCTGGGTTTTCTATAAACAGTTTTCAAGATATGATTTGGTTAAAAATAATTTGTTATAAAAATTCTGTTTGCAAATTAAACTGTAAAAGTATCCAAAGTCTCAAAAGGCAATGATTTGTGTGATAATTTGGTATGCCCAAAGCCCTACTCATCAATGAAAATCTCATAAGACAATAATTTTGAATTCATTAACATGAATCTCAAGTGTTTAGACCATTGCTTGCATGTTAACCTTTTCTTGCATTTTTAACCCCAGATGTCCTTCAGCTCATTTTTTTGCTTTCTGAAATTGGAAAAATCAAATGTGTCATAGACGATGGGAAGAACATTGAGCTTTTTCCCAGTGAGAAACTTCTGTATTCAGTTTGTATCTTTCCAAGCAAAACAAATGGTATTCTTTTAATATAACCATTTTCATGGTAAGAATGTCTTACCATTTAAGATATTTTATGTTCAGAGTATACTTACAATGACAGAAAAGGCTTGCAAGGAAAGTTGGAGTAAGGGAAATGACAGATGTAAAAACTCAGTAAAAATTGTGAAAAATGTTAAGAGTCAGCATGTTCTAATTGGGAATCTAAACTTAGATTTCTTACTGGCTTAGACAATTTGTTGTAAAGAATGAAGTGCAATGATAATTACTTATTTCTACTTGGTCATACTGGACTGGCTTCGTTCTCTTTAAATATTCAGTAATGACTCAAGCTAATTGCCATTTTTTAATTGCCATGAGCCAAATATTTCTCCTATACGATGGATTCATTTATTTTAATGGCTGCCTTTCAAATTTCATCTTCCTTTTCTTGCTGCTACCCGTCTGTCTGTAGGCATTAGAGGCAAAAAATGTAGTCACATTTTTTGATAGAAAGACTTTGTGTTAAAAGTGAACATTTTGAAGGTTTTTAATTGATGAGAGAAACTAGCCTGGAATGAAGCCACCAGAAGCTGAGTGGAAATTGCCCCTTTGAAGGTGCCAATCTTATGAGCCAAGAGTTTGGTGTTTAAAAGTTCATCTTGAGGGAATAACGTGTAATATATAATTTGAAATAAAGGTATAGTAACCTTTAAAAGAGCATTATAACAGATAACATTGTGAATGGGGTGAATTTGTTAAATGAATAATAACTTTGATAAAGTTTTCGTGCACAGGCAAAATGTATTCACTAGATTTCTATGTAGTAGTCTGCTCTTACTTTGTAATTTGTAGTCCTCAAAACTTTTTTTTTTTTAAATAAAGTCCATCCTTACACTTAGGCTTTATAGATCAGTCTTTTTTTTTTGTAAAGTCCATGTTAAAAACTAGTAGATTGTAAGTCGAGATGTCTTTACTGTATAGCATTAAGTAATAATTACTCTTTCATAGCTCCCAGACTGTAAACACCTACACAGAATTATGATGTAGCTGAAACTACATTAACATTTCTGCAACCAAGTCATTGCATGTTACTGCCATACAGAATGTGCCCTGTTTTATTATATATACTGTGTATAGTGAAAGAGTGTGGTCTTCCAGAAATACATTATGATCTTTGATCATAGTTTTTTCTTCATAACAACATGACGTAGTCTTTACAGTAAATGGGTAAGTCACCTGTAACAGTATAGTGTAAAGAGAAAGAATGCTTTATAGAAAGATTGTAGATCTTCATTTTGCATCATAAGTGGTAATTTTAGAACTCAGCTGCCAGTGCCAACTTACGGCCTCAAATATATAATTCTTAGTATAGATGCTAAATTTTAATTGCGATTGGATAAAAGTTAATTGATTTTCCTAACTGGGTGTCAGTTTATAAGGCTGTCTCCTCTGGGAAACTATAAATTTGTGTTTAGAGCTAATCTTGAATTTCTTAATCTGAACTCTAGGAGTATTGTCCTACAGATATTTATTCTGTTCTTATAAAAACTCCAGATACTAAAAATCCCATAGGATATTTTGATACAGCATAATGTTGGTAGTAAAGGGAAATGATGTGACCAAGAGATTAACCTCTAATTCACGTTTTTAAAGCTTTTTCCCACTGTCAACACCCACCCTAGAAACCTTTTTATGCTTTTTTTTCTAATAGCGCCCCCAATAAATTTCAGTATCATAGATATGCTGTGTATGTGTTGTATCTGCTTTTACATGAAAAGAGTAAAGGTTTGGGGGTTCCTTTGGGCATAATATCTTTTTAAAAGAGGAGGGAAGTCCTAGTGATATTTGCATTGGCAGACAGGGCTTTATGCTTCCATATTACTGCCAAGCAGAATTCTATCAGGACCAGTAGAACATAAAGGGAATTTTTCTGCCACTCACTATACGTTTACCAGTTATGCTTTATACTGTAGTCCACCATAGGCAATAGGCAAAGCATTTCCCATTGGCTTTTGAGGTTTTAATAGATTCTTGTTATAAATGTGTCATTAAGTAAAATTGTTTGCGAGTGATTTGGAGTTGTGGGCATAACACTGACAAATGATAAATTGAAATTTAATGATAAGCTTTTACTGAATCATACTCAAGGCTGCTCACAGGATCTATTATTGGTTGGCTTTAAATGTAGCAGATGCCAAAGTTTAGGTGTTCATTATAACTGAGATTACTGAATTAACGTTTGCAAAAATATTCCTCATGCTCTTAATGCCATGTAAAATCTGAGAATTCTAGTAAATTTTGCTATTTTTTTCATGTTCAGTATTACTTGAATCAACAATGAAGTGTTTCTGTTCACCAGCCTGCTAAGGTCTTAAAGGTGTTTAAAACAGAACAAAATAGTTTCAGCAAGAGGTAGTAGCAGGATCGTTGCGCCCACATCCTTCACCAAAAAATAAATAAAAAGAATAAAATAGTTTCAGGCTGTGCTCAATGGCTCATGCCTGTAATCTTGACACACTGGGAGGCCAATGCAGGTGGATCACTTGAGCTCAGGACCAGCCTAAGCAAAAAAAAAAAAAAGAGAGAGCCCCTGTCTCTGTTAAAAATAGAAAAATCAGCAAGGTATGGTGGTAGATGTCTAGTCCCAGCTACTCAAGATGAGGCAAGAGGATCACTTGAGCCCAAGAGTTAGAGGTTACTCTGAGCTGTAATCCAGCACTGTGTACCCAGGGCAACAAAGTGAGCTCTACCTCAAAAAAAAAAAATTTCAGTAGGCTTGATTTAAGTGGAATCTGAATGTTATGATGAGTACTTCTGATGTCAAAGTAATGAATTTATAATTGGCCTCTAAGAACTTGAATTATAGTGGATTAGTATCTGAACACAATGTCAAGGCATAATTGCATAAAAACTCATTTCAAAGGCTTCCTGGTTCCTTTCCTCCCCACTCTCCCCTCCCAATTTAACTATGGGCAATTAGCAGTCCAGTCAAATCCAATAATTTTTCTTTTTCCAGTGTGTTTTTATGATCCTTTTATCTTTAGAAGTATAGTCTCAGTTCCTAATGAATTGAAAGAACGAGGATACTTTACAAATGTATTCAGTCTTTGTCAGTGTAGTAACTCTTAATCAAAACCTTAGCTGTTAAACACTACACTGCTTGTGCCTAATGTAGTGCCCTGGAGGAGCCGGTGGTAAAAATCTGTGAAATCCCTTGCTTTGTGGACTTGATCCAGAGGAACTGATACCTTGTTAAACTGTGATCCATTGACAATGTTCATGTCATAGATTTGGGGTACTACAGTTATCAGATATGATTGAGCAGTTCTGTTTAGGGAATTTCCCTTCATTGTAACCAAAACAGGAGTCTGTGTTCTAGCTAAGGACAAAAATAGTTTAAACCTTTTGTTTCAGCTGAAGTCCTGAAGGCTGTGCTTGAAAGTTGTTTAACTTGGAGGTAAACCTGTTTAAAGTATGTGACCTGTTTATAAACTGAAGCCTGTGTTACTGCAGACATATCCTAACAGTCTCTGGCATTTCAGAATAAAATATTTGCTCTGTAAATACACCTCCTTTCCATTCTAATTAGGATTAATGGTGGCCACATGGCAAACACTTGAAGAGTGGAGAAAACTGGATAGCTGGTAATCCAGATAGCTCTTGGCACACTGAACAACCTCAAGCCAGTAATTACATTGCTGCATTATTTCTGTGTTTAATTGTAAAACTTGATTCTTGTCTGTACCCTTGAAAGTGAATAAAATTTCATGAGCCTCCTTGTTAATGTAGAGAAAAGCAATGACTGTTCAACTGGTTGTGTCCATTAAGGCCTCTGTTGTTGACTTTCCCTGTTTTGTGTAATATGTAAATATTACTGCAAAGCCTATGCCTCCACGTTTTTTTTTCCTCCAGTTCCACTTTTGTGTTTGTGTGGCTTGCATATACTTCAACTCGTGTCAGTACATGTTCTAAAACTGCCAGTGTTTCATTTCAACAGATAGAATGCCATCTACTCCAGAAAGCTTCAAGGTCTGTTTACTCCCCTCCAAAATAGTCTCAGTGCAATGCCACCACCTTAATTCAGGCCACTGACATCTAGTTAGGAAGAGATCTCTGCATCCACCTTTGTCCAGCTTGTCTTTAACACAATAGCTAAAGAAGTCTTTAAATGTATGTAGTTAAAGGCTTAAAACTTTTGTCTTTGCCTACAAGGCCCTTAATGATCTCCTTAGCTTAATCTGCCTTTTCTTATTTACCACTTTGTGTCTAGTAAAACTAGTAGCACTTGTCACATAGTAAACATGCAAATAAGTGAAGAAATTAGAGCAAGCAAGATGATAATACATTCTGGATTAGTTAGGGACAATCAGGATTTGAAAAAGGTTAGAAGACCCCCTCAATTCCATTATCAAGGGCAGCACCTGCAGCTCAAAGGAGTAGGGCACTGGCTACCGTACATGGGAGGTGGTGGGTTCAAAATCCAGCCCTGGCTCCCCTCCCAAAAAAATTCCATTATGAAAAGATAAAAAGATAGCTAATTAGGAGATACATTTGTAGAGTGAAAGCTGTTGTATCAATTCCCAGTACTTATGTACTGGGAAGCAGTTTTTCCTAGATTAGATCCAAGCTATTCCATTACCTTGCTGTGAATGAGTGATGTAATGAGAAGCTGTCAACAAATAAATGCATTTTGTTGGGCACCGTTACGGGCTCAGGCCTGTGGTAGTGAACAGCACCCAACCCCCAAGATTGAGGCCTACAGCAGGTAGGTACTATGAAGAGTAGGTGAAAACAAAAGAATGTGGTAGAGACAACCTCTAAAGGATGAGTTGGAGAGTCCAGTTTGAAGAGTGTAACCTATAAATGTCGATGCTAGGAGAGAAACCTGCAGACAACATAAAGGTTTGCAAGTGCCCGACATCAGAACAAAATGGTACAGGTCTACCTGGGAAGTATGGTCTAGAGCAGTGTTTTAAGTCTTTTGTCTAACACCACACTTAAATTATGTTGATGTAAAAAAAAGACTACGCTGGCTCAGCGCTGGTAGCTCAGTGAGTGGCGTGCCGGCCACATACACTGAGGCTGGCCAGTTCAAGCCTGGTCAGAGCCTGCTAAACAATAACCAACCAAAACTAGCCAGGCATTGTGGCGGGCGCCTGTAGTCCCAGCTACTCAGGAGGCTGAGGCAAGAGAATTGCTTAAACCCAAGAGTTTGAGGTTGCTGTCAGCTATAAAACACTATGGCACTCTACCGAGGGCAACATGGTAAAACTGTCTCCAAAAAAAAAAAAAATATATATATATATATATACACACACACACATATATACTTAAAACTGTACTTTGAATTTCTTTAGAAAAAAATTAATGATCTTTAAAAATTCTCTTGACAAACCACTTGAAAATTACTGCCCTAGAGAAAGCCATCTCTCATCTCCTCTACCAGACTCAGAGGCAAGTAACCTCTGAGTCTCATTTTCTGCATCCATAGAACAAGAACAGCAATCTAGTGGTGATAGGCTGACAAAATGATATTACTGGGGTGTGATGGCCTACATTTGGCCCAGCCACTTGGGAGACTAAGGCAGGAAAACAGCTTGAGCTCAGGAGTTCAGGCTACACTGCATTCCAGCCTATGTGGACCCTGTATCAAGACCCTCTCTGAAAAAAAGAGGGGAAAAAATTATTTCATCCAATGATAAGAATGACAGTATCGGGCCGGGTGCAGTGGCTCCTATGCCTGTAATCCTAACACCGGTAGGCCAACACGAGTGGATTGCTCGCCCAATCACACAAGCCTGAGACCAGCTTGAGCAAGAGCGAGACCCCATCTCTACTAAAAATAGAAAAGCTAGCCAGGTATGGATTACACCTGTAATCCCAGCTACTCGGGAGGCTGGGGGAG